AATTATTCATTTCAAATCTTTTCAATTAGCTCACTAAAAAAACCAAATTGTCGTTAAGCAACAACTCTACCAAATTCTGTTTAAGTGTGTCACTACGACTGCAAAATTTGTAGCTTTTTTTCAACTACCTAAAACAGAGACAAGTTAGGCCAGTTTTGAGTGGGAAGAGAGAGGACAGGATAAAGGAGTGATATATAGCACGATTTTGTTGTATATCGTCTACATATTTCACGCATTAATACACTGATGTTTGAAATTTTTTTGTAAAGTAGCATTCGTTCATGCACCATCGTTTTTTTTTTTTTTTATTTGTGTGTATATGTGTATGCTTGTGTGTATTCTGTTTCATTTAATGCAACTCTGCTTACTTTTGTAGTATTCGTTGCTTTTTTATACTGGCTTTATTGAACACTTAAATAACGCTATTTGCTCTTAAAAGGTCACTAGTACACAGTGGTTGCTTTCTTAGCGCACAATTTTTTTGAGGCAGAGAAAAAAATATATGGTAGTCTAAGACGGAAAAATTATTTTTAATTTATTATTATGCAGATATAAATAATTTTTTAAGAGTCACATTCATTCTTCTAATATATATTGAGAAAACTATTCTTACAATTGCATAAAAACTACTAAATTTTTATTTTATAAGGCAGCAGTATTTAGGAATGATAGTTGTTATAAGTGTTACAAAATGTTGTCTCTACAAGTGACAGAACTAATTTAGTTCCTTGTCCCGCTGATATGTTAGATGCAGTTTATGGAATGAGCAATTTTACTGTTTTTTTTAAATTACTGTTTTTTTTGGCGGCACTGTCTAATGTTTGAAAGTTCAGATGCTATCTGATCCGCAAACATCTCCTAAACAGGGTTCAAATGACATATTGTTAGCGCACAGTCTATCAGCTGATAAAATTTTGCCGACTGCTGACGACGGCTATTTCCCATGTAGCGGCCATTTTGATCTGTTTAAGCGACTTATATATGAAATGTGGTGGAACCCGAAAATTTTGCTGTTGTTGAAATTTCGCTTTACACTGTAGCAAAAATCCTCTTCCCAAAAGATTATTGCCACAATTTAATGACAACAATAGTTGCTTAAACAAATCACCGTTTTTTCACTTCTTTTCTCTTTTTTGGGGGGGTGGGAGGGGGGTTGGGAGGGCACAACAGGATTCTTAGTTAACAGTCACATTTTGGAATTACATGACAAAAAAATATTGTTAAACAGTTATCTGATGATTACGTCGTTTTGGTTCCTGTAGAATACTAGTTCATCATCGTTAAGCCTTACGTTTCAAATAAATCTCAAACTATGCCTCAAAAAACTAGTATGAGAAATTAGGAAACCGAATAGGCAGTCAGTCTAACGAAAAAAGTGAAATAGGGATTTCTAACTTTTACTGAAGCACTGCCGCGAAGAAATGCCACTAGTGACACTTTGAAGTTTCCACCACGGGGAGCGAGAAGAGGAAGGAGAGGGAAAGGGCACCGGTGGTACAAAGAGGGTGGGGAGGAAAAGGGATGGAAAAATTCAGGAGCTATTTCAAATATGATGTTTTTCTGTGCAAATGTTTTCTCTTGTTATCACAAGCAGAAATAAAAAAAAAAAAAAAAAAA